GAGCAGAATCTCTGCTTTCTAAAAATGAAATGTTTGCCCGAAAATTTTACCTCTACGATCATTAAAAATTGAAATATTTCCTATGAATTCTTGCCTGGATTGGTCGTATAATAGTAGATATCCTTTTTACATTCTGCACCAGAAATCGACGGGAGAGGTTGAACAGTCGAACGACAAGGAGCAACACCCAATTTGTGGCCATACTCAAAAGTTCGAGAGCAGGGAGCGANTTGTGGTAGAACTTTTGAATGGAGTCTTTCTGGATGAACATAAGTTCAGTTTGCTGTAATGAACTAAAAATAGTGGTTTGTGAAAAAAAATAGGTGCTTGGTTGCATCACACTACTCTGTAATAGTTTTGGCATCGATCGAAATTTCAGATCGGTCGGAATCTGGTAGACATGACTTCTCATCATTCTGACATTCGGAATTCCAACCGATTTCGGAGCTATTCGGTTGAAATCCGACTGACCTTCGGAACTGTTCGTTCAGAATCTGACCCGAATCCACACTTTAAGATTCCGACATTCAGAATTCCGACCGACTGAACTTCCGGACTATTCGTTCGGAACCAAAACATCGGAATCCCGACTGAAATTCGTCGAATTCTTCTAACTTAACGTTGCTCGGATGCGATCGCTTCTGCATAATCATAGCAAAAGAGCAATTGCTGTCTCTCGTTGTTTCTCTGTCGTTCTCTCGTTTGATTGCGTTGCTCCTATGTAGCGACGATTTTTCTTTGAACAACACGCGCGTTGGCTTTTGCTTGGTTGGTTGACATTGTTGGCTAATGTTTCTTGTTGCTAGTTTATAATGAAATTAAATGGGAAGCTAGTTTTGAGACATAAATCTTGGCGTTTTATTTGGACTAATTGAGATTCGTAGACATGAGCTGATAGAACTGAAGCGGTGTGGTACAAGCAGTTGTGATGACATCGTATCCTATTCATGTTTATATTTCAAGCCTTTGCACATGATTAATCCATTTGCCAGCTTTTATCAACCTTTCTTTTTTTAGGAATTTTTTTGTGCAAGCAGCGATACAAGCGTACTTATGGGTGATGCAAAGCCAAAGAAACGAGATCACGCTTCTATTTTTTTGATGTATGATTTGTTGAGATTTATATAATAATGATCAAACTCAACTCTGCCCTTAAACATTTAATCCAGTTGATTGCGTGAGCTTTGTGTCTTAACCAAGTGATCAAGAATTAGTGAATTTGTTCGATGAGTTGGTACATTTGTGGTTGGCATCATGAAAGAATGGCAGATTTAGGTGACAAATGTAAAGCTTGATGTTTTCAGCCCTGAAGTGATTGAGGTGGTGGGACGATGTGAAAATGGACAATTGACGCTGAATAAAGCTGTTGAGGAAATAACAAATAGAACTGGTACAACCGTGTCACGCTCCACGATTTGGAAGCACGTCCAGAAGCTGACTGAAGCGAAGGCATGAATGAATTTATTTGCAAGCTCAAAACTAGCCTCAATTTAATGAAAAAAAAATCAATTCGAAACAGTTGTTTCGGCCTCATCGAAACAAACGGTTCCACTTGGGAAAAGGGTGATCAGCAAATCCTAATGAAAATTGTCTCGTGTTGTTTTAGAAACAATTAGCTGAGAATCTACAGAATGCGTCCGAGAATCCAACTGAATCGATCGTTTCAACGACTTTACGGCGAAAATGCGACAGATCGGTTAGTGTTGCTAAGCGCAGGATGAATCTATTTTTCGGCTGTTTGTTGTGTGTTTCAGTAAGAACCAAATTTGAAGTCATATTCGCATACTGATTCATAGTTTTCAAAATAAACAAAATATGAGTGTGATTGAAGACCTAAACGAATCTTTCACATCAGTTCTCCGAAAAATATTCATTCTACTAGAGACATATTGACACATTTCAAATATATTTCATATTCATTCATTGAACATATTTGAACATATTAATATTTGAACATATGAATATATTTGAAAATGTTTTATTCAAATATTCATTTGAACAATTGTTCTGTTTGTAGGGAATCGGGCAAGAAGACGATAGTGATTTGGTCACTTTCACACTATCCAGTAAGCTTGAACGAACCGTGATCAACATTCGAGAAGGATCGATTATTCGACAGTATCGTGCGAATAACCTCAAGAAAGAGGGTCGAATATCGTATTACGTTTGTCAAACGTGTGATCTACTGAAACGGAAGGGTGCCAATATAGTGGTGCCGAAAATTCGGGTTCGCTACAAGAGAATAGTCGGAGATACACACCCACCGCATGCGGAACAGTGTCTAGGAATCTCCGAAGAAAAAATGTTGGCCATAGCCGAGGATCGAGAAGCACGTTTGCGTGTTCGTGAGGGTCTTCAACTGCCGCGCAATGCATTCAATGAGGTGCTGTAATCTCTACGGGTCATTGATCTCTGCAAATTTTTTGCCAAAAAAAAACAACAACAAAACAACTGAATTAAGTCAACTGAATTCGACTCTTGGAAGGCGACTCGATGTTCGTGTATTTCAGTGAATGCATTTCTTTATCGCAAACCAGTGAAATCCTACAATGCCTAGCTTTAGGGATTCGAACGCACTGTACGATCGGCCGCAAATTCGCAAGAATTGTCGAAGAGAATGTTCTCTGTATCGACAAAATATCCGTTGTGGAAAAATGTTCGTCGGTCCTACTATCGGGCCAAAAAACATGCGTTCGTGTTATTCAGTGTTGTTTGATGTTTCAATTTGTGATTGCCGCTATGGTGCCGACTAATCGTCTTTAAACTTGAAAAATCACACAGCCACAGCTCTGTTCAGAGTTTATAATATTAGTTGATCACAACTCATTTGAAGATGTTCCATTCACAAAAATGTGACACTTCATTGAATTGATATGAATTTTCCACAAGAATTCATAAGAATTTTCAATTTCACAAGAATTTTCACAAGAGTCCTTAATCATATTCATACTCTTCACTCATTTAGGAAAACAAAGAAGCGTAACGAAGCCATCGAACAAAACGATGCTAACATTGCAAACTCAGCAGCAATGTCATTCCAAGAAAATTATGGGTATCCGAACGAGCACAGTGTAAAAGCCGAGACATCAGGTGAGGCACATGAGTCTCGTATGGCTCATGATTATGACATCGCCCTACGTCAAGGACGCAGGAGCTCTGTGAATGAGCAGCAGCATTTCGTTGGTGATTGTAAAAGTCACGAAATGTTTCTCGGTCAACACGACGACGGTATGCTTGGTGATCTGGTTGATTCGTCGTCGTGTGCATCGTCGTTCAATTCGAATAACCATAATCAAGCAACCGATAAATGCTCAAATCGAAATCTCACGCAAATTAATGAACTGAATAATTCGAGAACAAAAACGGATCATCAGTACGAGGGTTGTAGTGAAGACGATGAATTGATCAATGTTGTTACAATTGAGAATGAACAAACATCTAATATGCTCACAAATGAGAGGAGCACCACTATACATCCATTATCTTCAAATATCCTTCAAGTTGATCCGCCGCATTCATCCTCTAATCTCAGTTTATTCCAACAACAACAACACCAATTCTCACCGACTACCAATACTATCATACAGTCTCGATCATCAGCCAGTTATTCTTCTGCTTTAGATGCAGTCAATGTGTCGTCTTCAAACCCTTCAAACCCGCATCGTATGTCGTCCACACGTGATCCACTGATTTGTCATGCCCTTCGAAAGCCTACTTTAACAAGAAATGAGATAAACATCTCGCAAAACTCACAATTAATTGACCAGCAATCACTAGTCAGTCAAAATGATGCACTTAGGAATAACACATTGAATAAATGTAAATCGCAAACGGACGGTGACCACGACAATTGGACACCTCCGAGACGTCGGATTAAAATATCAGACGGAGTTACTGTTGATGGTGGCGTTGTGCCATTCACTCATCCGGATCCAGCAGGCGATACTGGTGATGGTGCAATTCAACGATATGATAGTGGGGGACAGGTTACTGCAACAATGACCGTTAAAGAGTTTTTAACAGCAAAGAAAACTTGGAACAAATCAGTTGATGAAACCAACAACAATCCTGTATTAATTGATCGAGAATCAGTGCAATCGACCTCTACAAATCAGCGAATTACTAATGAAACTAGTAAATCTTCGTATGCAGTCGATCGACTCAGTGGTATTGGTAAGTTTTCGGATGCTTTAAATTATAACTGTCAGTTGAATGAAAGAATGAATCATACAGAATTTTACGTCACTTTGCTCGGAATTTATTGCTCAGAAAATGAAATGGCACATTCGTAAAAATTTACGAATGTGCCATTTCATTGATGCGTTCGGTGGAGAGTGGTTGGAAAATTTATGTTTTATGTGATGGAAAGATTCGGTTTTGATATCGCCATTTTATGGGATTTAGCGGGTGTATTTGTAATCTTTCATCGAATGCGAAGTTTTTTGCTTGCGCTGTTGATGACTTGATGAAAAGCGTGTAGTGATTTCATATTCGTGAAAAAAGTGGTGTTTATGATTACAGGTGAGTTGGTGGTGAGNGAAGTCTTTGAAAAAATAACGGCAAAATAAATGAGACTGTGGATAAAATCTCAGCAAAAAATGAATTGGGATGAAAGGGCAGTGGTTCGGAGCGAAGACGAATGACCACGAGGAACTGGTGGTTCTCGTTGAGGGTGATTCTTATTGGACACTTCAGATGGTTGATAGTTCGTCTGAACGTCATCTGTGATATTCTCATTTGATTTTGTTTAATACTTTTCGTTTGATGTGACCAATTTATTGTTGTTCATCGAATTGAGTGAAGTCAAAATTGGGGTTTACTTTACGTCTTTCTTTAATATGAATGATTATTATTGATGTGGAGTATTATCTTTGATTGTAATATATTAAGTTTATTTGATGTGAATGCTTCCAATTGAAAATAATTCTGAACATTCAACGAAACAAAATTTTCAGTTTAGTATTTATAAACACTGATTTGTTAGGTTCCTCTGTCCATTGTCAAATGAAACTAATCATAATTTTGAATGCATATTTCAATTTTTGTCTTTGTTTCATAAATGTGCACCAAACATTCCACCGATTCAAAAACATCTGTCACTGAAGTTTATTCGTTCATTGTATCGATAATAGTAATCATATCGTAAGTAAGTATAGAAATCTTTGAAGTAATAATATATAATAATGATACTATAAGTTATGATGTGAAAAATTGCAATGAGATCACTGTGATCATTGAGAAAACGAGTGAAAATATATTCGGATCTATTCAGAAATTGCTGATATCTCTATTCGTGACATCAAACAATC